TGAGGGAGTTGCCATTGGGTCACAAATATCCCCGATTGTAGCAGATATTTTCATGGATAGTTAGGAAAACTTGGCAACTGAGACGTTCAGCCTCATGCCAGAAGTATGATAGAGGTAGGTTTAGGGATCGCAAACTTTCGAAGCCCAGAGTTTGACTGTTTCAGCAGACACATCCTTGAGGGTACTGCTTCAGGCCACTGTGTAAAACGGTCGATTCAGATCAGAATATAGGTGTATCCACGAGATTCTGGGAGGGATGCAACCAGGTCTTTATGAACGTGTTCGAAACTAGTATTAGCGATTAGAAAGGTATTCAAGGGTCTTTTGGTGCGTCTTACTACCATGCACTTTAGAATGTCGCAAGTAGCATATACCGCAGTACACAGCAAGAAGTTCTCTGCCGAATGCGCTGTACTAGTATTCTGCCAGGTCAAAAAAATACGAGTGGTTGACACTTTTACTAACTAGTTGTTGCAGAACTGCGCCAAATGCAGTGTCAAATGCATCAAATGAGATCCTTAATGGTGCCGCTGGATCCTGATACATAAGAAGGGTAGCATCAGCGATAGCCTTTTTAACCTGAAGGAAAGAATTTTTTAGTGGACGCGGCGAGTTCGATGATCTTATTATTACCTCGAAGTAGGTCTGTTGGCGACTGAATCAGGGAGGCACAATCGGAAAAAGGCGTTGGTAATAAATTACCAAGCCATTAAAATAGTGGTGATTTTTCACCCTATCTGGCTCCAAAAAGTTCAGAATCGCCCCAACTTTACTGGCCGGTGGGCGAATCCCCTTGTAGTCAGTGATGTGGCTGAGAAAGTTCACTGATTTTACTCCACTCTGATACTTTTGAATATTTCATGCATTTATTCCCCATGATGAGTTCGAATAAAGCAAGAAAAACAGTGGTTTGTGCAGAATAATAGCATACCATCATTAATTTCGTCGCCTTATCATCCGTTGCTTACAGCCTTAAAGACTTTTGGATATTAATGATAACACCATGTCGACGTCACCTTTCGAATGCCAAGTCCAAGTGTCTAAGTTGAGTTTCCTTGTCTGGACTGGCAATGAGGCAGTTGTCTAAGTATGCGTACACAAAGTCGAGACCGCAAAATACTTCGTCACCGAAGCGTGGAAATGTTGGTGCTGCATTCCCGAGACTCAGTGGCATGCGTAGATTTTCAAAAAGTTCGAAAGGCGTAATTATAGCCATCTTCGGAATATCTTCGAGTGCAATCGGGGTTTGACTATATGCTTTACCCAAGTATGTTTTACAAAAATTAGTTGTAACAGATAGTGTTGCGTCAAGTCATGTATGTGAGGCAATGGACAACAATCAGAGGTCATTCTGTCGTTCACTGGCCGATAATCACCAGTGGATCCCCAATAGTTGCTATCTTTTTTCGGTACCATGTGGAGTGGGGACACCCAACAGCTATTCGATGGCCGAATGATGCCAAGGGTGAGCATATGGTAGAACTTATTACTCGGTAGTCGTAGTTTGTCAGAAGCAGGTTGTCGTGCTTCGCACGTCACATGTTGTCCTGAGATTGTGATGTGATGCTTAACACTGCTGGTGACGGATGGTGGATCGCTGGGAGGCTCAACAGTCAGGTGAAAAGTTGAGTCAAAGATCGCCTTCCTACTAACCAGTGACAAGCTGGGACCTATGTGGGCAGTCCAGTGGTACCGTCTATTAGTCGTTTCGGCGGACATTTATGAGTAGATCATGATGACTAAGTAGGTCCATGCCTATGGTAGGCCTTGTAACGTCGGCAAGAAGGAAAATCAACTGAAATGGTCTGCTTAAACCCAAGTTCAGATAGACGCATTTGTTAACAAAGGTTGTAGCAGGCATTCCATTCGCTGCCTGTAGGTTGAAGGTAGGCCCCTTCTGTTGATCCGCCTCTGTAACAGGAAGGGCGCTGACTTGGGGACCCGTGTCGACCATCACTGGGTTTTGTTCACTACGTCGCGAATGGATAGCAGATGAAAACTGCCACTGGTAACGGTTGCTGTTAACGCGTGCCGGCTGGAGAGTTTCTCATAGTCTTGGAGTCGCTACAAAAATTACAGGATTTTCGGCAACATTTGCTTCCTGGCCATAAGTGTTGTGATACCAACATCCCTCAGAGTTTTTAGGTCAACGTGATTTGTACTTCGATCGACCACGTGGGTTTCACCGTTGAGTTGAGTTAACGGAGTTGCATAACTCTATAACTTCAATATCACTACTCGAAGACTTTTTAGTGATTGAGCACATTTCCGTGATTGGTCATTGTGTTATTTTTGGAATTCTATCAGCAGAAGAAGCTAAATTATCTATAAAAACACTTTGGAATGTGACAAGAACAGCCTTTGCTGACCATGACCACTTTGATAAAAGCAGCTCTCTGAGGAGTCCATCGTCGAATTGACGTTAGTCAATAATTTCCCGCATTCGTTTTAGCATGTTCAGATTCGACTGATCACCTAACTCAACACCGCGAAATAGTTCGTCAAAACGCCGACGATCTGTGAGATCCCCTGTTTTAAGAAGGGTTGCCTTAATCAAGTTTTGGGCTAGACATTTGCATAGTAACGTAACTGCTTAATTCCTGCGTTAGATCATGGATAACTGCAAAGAAGTGTGAGTGCCGGTCAGAGATCTCATATTCACTGAAATCAGACTCGGCTATCAGAAACCATGATTACAGATTGTCTGGCCAAAACAATAGGAAATAAACAGTGTTGCTAATTGGTCGGATGCGCATGAGTTTGGGAGTACAGTCACTCATGAAGAAACATGTATTTCAAAAATAGTAAATACAATACGAGAGCAAATTAAAAATCGAAAGAACTAGACTGGATTTTTCTGCGTGTCAACCAGAGATGGACTTTGCGAAAGGGATCAACAGTTTAGAGGCTTAGGGTGTCGACGTTCACGGATAATGTGATTTATTCTAATGCAAGGTCTGAAAACCGGAACTTTAATGGTATTCGTTCCGCGTAGACTAAAGACAATGCAAAACGCTAAATTGATCGTACAGATAACGAAGTATATTTCAGAATGAAATCGAAGTGCCAGGCTTAACTAGCTAGGGATCGTGCAGGAGCAAGAAACGTAACACGATGGCGTGCTGAAGGGCTTGGATGCTTGAGGGTAAGACTTCAACTAAACAAGTGAGCTTAAACAGTGGGGTCACCATCCAGTGTTCAGTGACAAACGCTGTGGCTAGTAATTATAGGGTATTACCTACCGCTACAGTAGATTTCCAGATTGATTTCAAAGTGGTGAAGGTCCAAGAACACAGATGCACCAAAACTTCACTCCTACTATTTATACTTCCGGCGTGCTCACCTACTGTGTAGTTGTCAAAATTACACCGACTCAGTCGTGATTACAAAATCATAACACTTTGTTTGAGAAAAGGCTTTCAGTGAAGTGATGATATTGAAAAGTAAAAGTGAATTGGTAGAAAGCCGTAAATTAGTAACTAGCATAATGTGTCCAGTCCCTTATTTGGTGCAGACTGAAATCTGTAAGTCAAGTTTGCAATGTGACCAGCACTCTATGCACTCCACGAACACAGTGCACTGTGAATTATTAAATCTGCAACAGAAAAAGGACCAAACATACTACACTGGTCCACCGACTAGTGCCCAATCAAAAATATCAAATACAATCCTACAGGAGGTCAGTCAGGAGCCCGAATAGCTCCACAGTGGTAACGTCTCTGACTGCAGTACTCATTGAGTGATGTGGGTTCAAATCTCAGAAGGGAAATGAGGTCCTTCACGGTCGAAGATACGCCTTGCTGGCTGGTGGGTGCCAACTAGCACGAAACGTAGGTCTAAGGCTTCCTTTTGATTGCCTCCAACCATCTGATACCAACAATTCAAAGTGCACCATGATGGCGAAGCCACCTAGCATGGTGGCTTCATCGCAAACGTGACTGATAGAACTCAGTCTGCGCCAAGGATATTACTACACACATCACGCAAGATACAGTAAGAATAATCCACAAGTGTAAGAAGCATGACACATTGCCGTTGAAGCAAGTGAAATACGTTCCCCTTAACCTGTAAGACAAAAATAAAGGTCTCTGAAACGTGTAATGTATTCGCACAACACATTTTGGATATTATAATCACATGCGTACTTGTCATACAAATTTATATAGAAGGCGATAGAGCATGAGCTATTACAATATAGGTTCCGTTTTCTACAGATCCGGGACACTGATAAGAGGTGGGGAGATGACGCAAGGATGTGAGGTGAGAAAAAGAAGGCTGACGGTGAAAATATTATTGAGTGAACTGGACCTCAGTTCTAAACTGGAATAACAAGGGAGGTTAAATGTAATAGCAAATGAATTTTGAGTACTTCAGAGAGGTTAAAGCCATTTTATGGCCAAAACCTCACTTAATTTAGGTATTTGACCCAAATTTACTCTAAATACAGGTTCTAAGGCATTAGTGGAACCAGTCTCTGTTATGTGCTTCGGGATAGCTTATTTCAGACATATATTTCCAGGATCAATCATCTGGATGCATCTGATTGTCTTCTGTGACGGCCGATTTTATACGAACGATGTCATTCCAGTCTTCGTTGGAAACTAAGAACGCTGAATCCACCTGCTTTGACATACTTTGGTTATCCCTCTAAATGGCAGTTTAATACTACTACCTATCAGTCTTTGCATACAAAAGCATCAGACCATTTGAAGAGTACTGAACTCAAAATAACAATGAGAAGCAAAATTCGGATTATTTGTTTCTTTTCAAGGTATTTAGTTTGAGTATATTACATTACCATGCCAAGTACGCTGTGGAGATACTTCCAAATGATCAGTAACTTTCAGTGTATACCTAATTTTGCATGATAAGTCTGAATATCATCAGCCCCACATCGTTTTTACATCCTCTATTGAACCTTCGAATATTAACTTTTTGTTTTGTTGCGCAGATTTTCAAGGAGAGATGTTGCTAATATTTTAAATGAGTTTTTAGTAACCATGATAAAAAGAGACTCCCAGTGTAACTTACTTTTCAAAAGTAAGGAATGGTAAAATCTTCTTATTTCGTTAGTTATTCTGATAGGAGATTCGGGTGTAGGCAAAACAAATTTGCGTTCACGGTTCACTAACGACGAATTCAACCTGGAAAGCAAGAGCACAATCGGCGTTGATTTTGCCACAAAGTAAGGTGTAAAATTTACATTCATATACTTGAAGGAATGTCACCATTGACGGTAGGACCGTGAAAGCACAGATATGGGATACTGCTGGTCAGGAAAGATATCGTGCTATAACTTCTGCGTACGTACGTTTCATCCTATAAAAACTAGGATAATTTCACTAATGCATGTCTCATTAAATGTTTTTAATTGTCTTATATATTAGGTTTGTACCTGTTTTAGTTAAATTTTAAATGTTCAATATACATTGATTATTATTCATGACAAATATGTCTTTCAACTTCATGGTTGTCCATCAGTTTGCCTTTCAACTACATTATCTTTGATTATGTTTGCAATGAAAATCCCACTATTCGGTCAATTAACAAATACTGCTATTAAAAGTGCTCTTCACTGACTTGAAGTTAAATAAGAGACTGTTTAGTAATTCAGCACCACAACGTTATTATTCTTACAGCAGATTTTGTACTCATAGTTTGTTTGTCATTGGATTACTGCCTGATTGATCTCTATTTTTATGTGACTTCTTACCGACCTATAGGTCAGCACACTGTTTCTTAGTATGAGTCATGTATATCTAGGACTAATATGCATGTAGTGTCTTCTGTCATAGTTCTGATAGACATATTAATTCCATTTCATGGGAACTGCGAATTAATACAGTGAGACACATATCTATCAGTAGGTTTATTTTTCATAACTGGAATCTTTGAGAATTTACGTAAGCTTTTGAGGTATTTTTCAGCAGGCGGTTTTAAACCAAAACAGATTTACAAGAAAAATACAGAGAAGCCAGACTGCTACTTTGCTTTGTACAAGTGAGATTGGATTATTTAACATAAAAAGGTGATAAAGTATTATTAATTGGGTGATGTTTCGAGCAAAAGTTATTTGCTCGTAACTATATCTATGCATTACTGACTTCCTTCATGTGACTTTTTATCACCTCCGTTTTTAGTGAGATTTTCCATATGTTCAGTTAGAATTTTTATTATTTTGACTACACGTATTTGGTTTTATTCAATAGAGAAAGACTAAGTGATCAACCTGTTCCTCTACCTAACTGTACTCCTTTTTGATTGGACACAAGTTAGTAATTAGTGTGATTTGTCTGGTCCTATCTTTGACGCAGACTGAATTCTATCGATCACGTTTGCGATAAGGCCACCGTGCTAGGTGGCTCGCCATCATGGTGCACTTTGAATTGTTGGTATCAGATGGTTGGAGGCAATCGAAAGGAAGCCTTGGATCTACGTTTCGTGCTAGTTGGCACCCACCAGTCAGCAAGGCGTATCTTCGACCGTGAAGGACCTCATGTCTCTTCTGAGATTTGAACTCGCATCGTCCGATGAGTATTGCAGTCAGAGACTTTGCCACTGTGGAGCTATTCGGGCTCGAGATTGACCTCCTGTAGGACTGTATTTGATATTTTTGATTGGACACCAGTTAGTGACTAATCAGTACTCCTTTTCAATATGCAAGTGCATGCATCATAACGGCCAAGCCTTTTTATAGATTACTCAGCTTAGAGGGCTGAACCAATAAAACTGTAGGTAAATACCTGTGTTCTGATTTGTAACTTAACTGACTGTGATCAACTTGTTCGGCCTAGACAATTGACGTAACTGTATTTAAATGGTTTTTGATTAATTCGATTATTTTTCCCAAATTTACCCATTAGTTTCCTGAGCTAAATAAGTTGAGTTGGTTGGCTTAAGTGATACCTTGAATTCTGACTTACTAGGATCACTGATTAGGCCCACTAATATCCCTTCCTTAAATAACAGTACTTTCGAAGTTTTGAATTCTTCGTCGTTTGGTGTCTTTAGTATCGTTTTTTATTGTTTACATCAGCACTCTGGTTTTTCCTTTTGGTCTTAATACACTTTTGAACAAAATCTTGTGTTTAGTTGTTCACTACTGATATTTTTCATATTTGTTCAATTTCATTATTAAAATCTTCTGACTTACTAGTCAGTCTTCCAGCTCGATTGTATGGACATTTAACTAAACCCACCTTTAGTACTTTTCAGTGGAATGATTTGAAGTCTGAGTCCCTGTCAAAATATGGTGGTTTCTTACACATGCATGCATTTTTTTATTACAGCTTGATGCCACACCTTATTTACAGTACACGTATGGAATTTTCAGCATGGATATCGGTAGCCCAAATTTTGCAGGCCGACCATAGATATTGGGTGTGATTCGGCAGGGGATCGAACCCCGGACCATGTGCATAGTCGGCGAGAGTCCTAACCTCTGTGCCACCGACGCACCGATGCATGTAATGTACCATCCTGTTTTGATTTTATTTTAAAGTCTAGTACAGCCAAATCATTTCGCTCAATATCTACCTCGGAAGTGGACCGATTACATCTTAGACTGAATTAACATTGTAGGAGATAGAATGTAGTTTATGAATACATTTATATAATTCTGAGTAGCAATAAATTGTGCTCAAAATGTCATTCACATTTTAATGGTTCTGTATCACTCAGTGTTATATCAAATTAACTTCACTAGTATAGAATCACATCCCAAATTACTGCCAATAATCTGTGCTTACTCTGATCCACTGACTAAAATGAGAAAATGTTTTTCTGACTATGTCTCGTTTCATTCCAGACACTGAGTGCTTCACTCCTCATCTGCCTTTATCTTTTAAGATTGATTAATATATGACATGTCTGTGACTTTTGGTCGTATAAAATGTCATCAAACTGACAATTATGTGACAGTGGGTCACTAAATCCCAAATGGTTACTGTAACGTCGTCGATTCTGATCTATATGCTTAGAACAGGTTTTCATTTAAGTTTCCGCTTGCTGAAAACAATGGAAAGCGCAAAAAATTACTGCACTGAATCAATTTAATACGCATTTTAGTAAAACAGTAAGAGCGAGTAAAGGGAAAAATAACATAGTCCTTAGTTAATTAAAAGCAGATACCAGCTGAGTGAGACTGGGTATATTTATATACCAGTCTTCAGGATAGGAGATATCGAAGCTTATTACTCTTTAGACTAACCTTGTTCACACAATTACGGCACAGAAGCAGTCGCAGAGACAAAGTATGAATAATAGTTTAGTTGTCGAGAACAAAATATGTATTAAGGGGAATTATTGTGGGTGCGGAATCCCAGTGTCTGAATGGTCAACGAGCTTGGCTTGTGGACAGGTGGTCCTGAGTTCGAAACCTGATGGCTGCATACTACCGATGAGTCCCAAGCACTGGGACTAAACAGCTGTCCAGTACTCCATAGCTTCCAGTTTGTTAGCCGTTGGTTCAGCGGTAGAACGCTCGCTGAGGCGGTAGTAAGGCTGGTATAGGGGGAAGGTTGGGTTGGCGTGAGGCTAGCAACTCCATCCCGTAAAAATAAATACTAAAACTTCAAAAGCTCCAGCTTGAAGTCATTTGTTCTACTGGGAAATAAAATTTTGAAAAATATTGGGGGTATGAGAAAATATCTCGATGTAGCCAAAACTGTAACACAATTACAAGGGTGTTTAAACAGGTAGCATCAACTGAAAAAATTCACCATAACATAAGAGATGAAGATCCATTCGGTAAAGGCCTTTGACTGGAAGTTTTTCACAAATACTGAGCTTTTAACTGAACTTTTTAGCCACATTATAACAGGAGGCGGTTTCGCATGACTTTATTTAGTATTTCTTTGAAAGTCTCAGTAAAGAATTGTCGTTTTTTTAAAATGTCGTAGTATTTGAAACAACAAATAAAACTGTGCTGTAGCTTTGAATTAGCCTTGAAAGTTTTCGTGACTGAAATTAATCAGCACTATTATCAAATGAATTTGAAATATTCACATGGCTGACAAAGACAGGCTTCTTAGCATACTACATCAGTTATCTCACAAAAAAATTGAGGTAGAGTGAAGTTCCAATTTTTTGTCGAAAAAAGTTTTACTTTATCATATTTAGATAAGCTACTACCAAAAATAACTAGCTAATATTACTTGCTTTCTGCCCATGAGAACTATTTGTATGAATTAGTTATTGAGTTCAAAGTCGAAATCCCCTATGGCCGTAAGGTTGAGTTATTCGCGATTGCCTACTTTAAATGACATGAGTACCTTTCAATTGGTTAATGTATCTTAACCGATTTAATGAACTTATAATCTGGCGGAGTGTGAAGGTATGATTTATATTCTCTTTTTCTGGACTACAACCTGCCTAGTTTTCCCAGGTATTTTCCTTTTGAGCACCACTCAGTCAATATATACGATAAATCAATTGGCTAGCTGTCTTTGATCACACATTTTCACCTTCTATCTCCCATGATAAGTGGTACATTATTGTGAACAATATCGACGTTAGGTTAGGAGGGTATGTCCATCGATTGAGATGGCTAAGACACGCGATGTGCATGCCAAGCTACCACCTTCCTCTATGAGCAATGTTAGCTGACACGGGATTATGTTAGAAAACAGTTAAGGGGCAGTGGATTTTTTGACAGTTTATTTGAGTCACGTAGGAAGGTGAACAATGTCTGACTGGGTTCCCTGAGATGCAAAGAACCAATGACCTCCCGTATCTATCAAACCATTATGGTTCTCCTCGCTACTATTCTTTCTCTTGTCCACTCCTGATTACTACAGTCCCTTTGAATTTTTTCGCTGCAACATTTGTGTGCTATATGAGCTGTTGTGAATTGAACTGTTGCACTTCCTTGCAAAGTTCTATACTGAAACTCAGTTAGCCAATCAATAATGAATTGTACGTAATGTAGTTCTTGGAGGGAAATAAAGTTAGGTCTTTCGCCCCTCCCTCTTTATTTTTTGGGGAAACAGTGAATAGCGTATAATAAATTGAAGCTTATAGTCTACTCTGGATAATCATCATAAGTGACACGTCAAACTTGCTGTTTCTTTTCAGTTTTTTGTACTCTTTTCGTCTTCTGAGTGGAACATAAGGCTTTGAACTTCAGCATAGCAGTGTTTCAGTAGTAGTGGTTGTATTTTACATGGTTGGATTGCTACCCCCCCCCCCCAAACACTTAACCTTTCCTCTTTTCCGGGTTTGCGACCTCCTAAGGGAGATGAAGTTGTGCGTTGGCTGAGAGTCGAACCCCGGACCATATATATGGTTGACGAGCATTCTCCCG